AAAAAAAAAAAAAAAAAAAAAAAAAACCGCTTAAAAAAAGTTTTCCTGCTTAGTAAGGCAAGTTTGTAGAAAATTTCATTTTGCAATGACACCAAATAAACAATCTAGCAGCAATGAGGCAAGAAATAGGGATAATGATGGGCCAAGAATGCTGCTATGAATAAGCCACTTTTTATATCTTTCTGGATATAACAGAAAAAATAACCTAATTATCATAAGGAAAAAAATGAAGACTTGCACAAGATTCTCATAGCTATTCTCTATAATCTTGCAAAGGATTTAGGGGATTATTTACAGATCACCAGCAGCAACAAAATGAGTTCTGCCTTTAGGGGGAAAAAAGTATTTCTTCTAGCTGAGTGTTACCTACCCCACTGACAAGGGTTATTAATTAACTTTACAGGTAACTGCTTTTGTATACTTACTTCAGTAACCTAAATTCACCAGTTTACCAATTTGCTATCAATAAATTAATAAAATGACAACAAAGACAGCAACTACAGAAACTACCAAAAACAGCTCTGCCTTATTCAGAATAAAACTGCCCCTTCCAAAAGGCTTTCAAAAAGGGTCTGAATTAATCTGATTTTGCACAAAACAGCTAGTAAGTGACTATTAACCAGTTACCAAGAGACTTGGAGCGGAAACATTTCACCTCCAGATACTCAGGGAGCATTATGGGAAAATGTAAAATTTCTTTTTCCAGACTGTGCAGTCAAAAAGATAGCTGCAACCCTCTTTACTACAACTAACCAAAAACTTTTAAAATAAGGTATTTATAATCTGAAAGACAGACATTTTACTTTGTACTCCAAATTTCTATTACAAATCACACCATTTCCCATAAAAATGGATTTTTGACTCTGAAATACAACACAGCTAATAATGTGCTGTTATTTGGATGTTCCAGGTATAGTTATCCTTAATCCAGACTATCCAATCTGTAAACCTGTAGAGTTTGTAAAAGGAATGGGTAGGCGTAAAGACAAAAATAGGTAATGGTAAAGACAAAAGAAATCAGACGATGTTTCTGGAAAAGCAAGGTTATATGGCAGTGATTTATTATCATTACCACTGTATACTAGCAGTAGTAAACTGTAGAAAACAAAAGATTCCTGCAAAACAATTTACTCCCTGACAAATAAAGGCAATACCATTAAGGACTCCCTTTGATAATGCAAAGAAAGGCACAAGACAAATTCTAACAGGTCTCACACTAGAAGTACCTCGTTCATCTTTCATTCAGCTTTTACTGAAATTCAACAACATTCTGAGAGTCTTTGAGTTATGAATTAAAGATTAATTAAAGATTAAATCATACCCACATAAGACTATATACAAACTACAGAAGCTATTTATCCTAAAATAGATATAAAATTTTAAACTAGTAAGATTCTTCAGTCTTACTCATCAAAGATAACCACCTCTAAGAAATGCAAATACAGTTTTAACAACCAAGCTGTCAGGAATAATTGCTAACATACTAGATGTTTTCCAAAATCATGTGACAATCTAGGGAAAATATAAGCAATTAATAACTAAAAGTACTTTTATATTTTATGGCTCTTATTAGAAAGAAACCAAGACAGGTAGCTTGGCTCCAAAGAGATACTTATTAGCAAATATTTTCCACACACTTTCTGAAGATGATTATACATGAAAATCTTCCCTAAAGTAGAAAAAGAGGCAACAGATTATACCATTGCATGGCTAATGTTCTAATCAAGTAATCTGGGTTTAAAAACTCTTATTCTAAAATTCTCTCCTCTCCTATTTCTCTTGCAGAATCAAACCTAAAGACAAAAATTTCTAGAGAAGGTATCTGTCTATAATTCTGCCAATAAAACTTAAAATCACCAAACTTACACAGACAAAAAATTAGGTCTTTACTGTATTTTTGAGTATTTAGAGTAGAAATGGAGAGGCTACTTAAAAAAGATGTGGGGCCGGGGATTTAGCTCAGCGGTTCCACCTCTTGCCTTACAAGTGCAAGGACCGAAGTTCGATCCCCGGTACCAAAAAAAAACAAAACAAAACAAGATGTGTAACATGGATTGAGGTCTGTATTCAAATCACAGCAGTAAGCACTCAGTGGTTTCCAGGACATCTTTTTAAGACCTTCTGAGCACGGCCTTAGACTTGTTCATTTCAGTTCGTATGAAGAGGACTAGTAAGTACATCCTTGTGTTTAATCTGGAGTTCAAATGCATAACACATCTTAAAGAATCACAGAAAGCCCTCAAGCAAAAATTAAAAGCATCTGAAAGATAATATTTGATTTTATTTCACTCTATCCTGCAGACAATCTATTTGTCTTCCAGATAAGCAGGCTTACTTTTGCTCTAGTAGAATAAAAGTTTAAAAAATTAAGCAACTCTAAGTGATACACATGTCCATGGAAAAGTCCTGGTAGAGTGTGAGGGAAAAACCAAAGCTGCCCAATACAACTGGCTATTGCCTGTCATTTAGTACAAGGTGTTTTGCCACTGAAATTGGACTCAAAGTGCAAAAGAAAAATTTTTAAAAATCAAACCTAGAATCCAACTGTGTATGCTGAGATTCAGTTTTATTTATGCTACTAGCTAGTAAAAAGCATACATATTGTGTCTGTGGTACAGCTGATACATCTTCAACTTTTCTACTTAAACTTTCTCTACAAAGTCACTGCCGATTGATATGATCATTGATGGCAAAGGGCTTAGAATAACCAAAAGGTATAAAAGTTTGCAGTCTTGCCCCAAGATACAAAAACTGAATTTTAAACATGGCATAACATACATGATTTAAACAGTATATGAAAAAAAAGTTACATATCAAATCAAGTACAAAAATACCAAACTACCTATTATGAACTGCATTATTTCCATTATTCTGCACAGTATTTAACATAGAATTTAGCAGTTTCCAAAATACTCACTATTTCAGCATTGCCACCTTTGCAGAATAGTGAGATAGTAGGTAGAGTGACACTGCTTTTAGTGTTTTTAAAAATACAAAGCCTTTCCCTACAAATTAATGAAGGAAAAAAATTCCTCTTCTAGGCTTCTTAGTAACCAACCTTGTGCCCAGAAATACAGAAGAGTAGATCTACTGTTTAAAGGGGCAAAAGTATACACTGAGTGATAAATATTCATCCAATAGGTATAACAAATGTAATTTTAAATGACATTTCTTTGTCTGGTGATTTTAAGGAATTCTCAATATACACACAGATTAGTGTTTTGCCTTGGCAAAATTAAAACTGAGGTTGCAATACAATCTGAATTGAAATCATCTTCACTAGTTTAACTTGCAAAAAATATTTTGGACAAAAGGTTATAATACATTACTATCTGTTTTTTAAACACAGAGTAAAGTTGCTCTTAATAATATTAACTCACCCACATGGCACAATATTTTGGAATAAAGCATGTTTGACAATAACAATCTGCACACAAAATAAAATAGGTGAATTAACTTTGAGAACTTCTCTGTTTAAAATCAGCAACGTTGAATTTATTCTGTAGAATAGCACACACACACTGATGTTCTGCATAAAAAAGGCTCTAAGATGTTTTAAAGGGTTAAATTTCCCAGCACTGGAATGACTCATTCGTAAATAACTGGTGAAGATTTAATAAGAATGTATTCTTCCTGATCTTCAAGCTCTGAGCCATGCCTGAAAAGTTCTAAATAGAAAAAAATAAAAACGGTTTTAACCCAGTTTCTGTCTGCTAGGAGCAAGGCAGCAAACACATTTCTCAATCCTTTATGAAAAGATAAAGCAGAACAAAAATGAAACAGATCTTCAGATTATAAACAGGATTGTATTTTATAGTCCACCATCCTGATAATGGTAAGGGACCCCACAGCGAGAGGCCTCAGTCTAAAGGTTGTGGATCTGCAATAGGCATGGTATGAAGTACTTCATCTAGAAGTTGGAGGGCCCGGTGTAAGTGAATCTCAATCCAGCAAGGCGTTTCTTTGATACTCTGTCTTGGGTAATCAGGTCCCCAGCCTTTCACAAAGCTCATCCTGAGTATGCATAAGCGACGAAGATCATCTACACCAATGCCGGCAGCCGCTGACAGACCTACCAGAAAAGTTTGGAAGACATCAGAGGGACAGGGTGATCTCTTCCCATCCTCCCTACATTCTGATTTCTTTATATTCCTCAGCATATAACTTCTCTGTCAAAGTGCCAAGAAGTAACCGTAGGTCTAAACCTTATCAATAAGAACTGAAAACTTTTGGTTAAGGTAGTTTACATTCCTGTGTCAACTAGCTACCACCAATTATAAATTACCACAAACCACCAATGCCCCATCTATTTTTCTCTTTAGAAGTGGAGGTGAAGGGATGAGAAACAACTTGATTTTAAGAGGTAGCACACATCTACAGGTTGGTTCTAAAAACCATACTAATATAAACAGCCTACTTCAGAGGAAGACATGACTAATAATAAGACAGTTAACATGTGTGGCTAAGACCTCTTAGATGACCCAGATGATGTCTGCCTCTCAATTTCACAGTGTAACAAAGATAATACACAATGAGGGAAGTACAAGAGCTTCAAAAACTTAATACTACCTCTGAATTATTTAGAAAAAACATGTTTATAGCATCAAAACTAGCAAATTAATCGTTTAGATGCCCAAATTTAAAAAAAAAAAACTCTAATGAATATATCTATGCCTAATTTGTAAACTCCTGAACTTACGTTACAACACTCTGCATCTAATTTTCCAATCAAAACATACAGTCATATAGTCAATCTGCATTAATCAATATTACCATAAAACTAATGGGAAGAATTTGCATATACTGTACAGAAACCTGCAGGGCCACTGCAGTTTTCTTAGCCAGTGTGATTTGCTTACCACACTGAAGAGGTTAAGAACAGGGGTTGAATGAATCATTAGTTATGCCTTCAGACGTGGAAGATGGGTGCCACGTGTTTCCATCAAAAAGTCTATAGTCAGGAGTTTAACTCTGCAGTAAAAAATTCCCCATCAGTGTGAAACCTGGCACATAGTTCAATTTTACCCTAAAATTAAAAAAACTCTACAAGTTATCAAAATACCACCCTTAGTTTTCTCTCCATGCTTGGCATTCTACTTAAAAAAAAAAAAATGGAGAGGCATCCAATTCTGAAATTGAAATATGCTTCCTTAATAAAATCAAGCCAAGTACTTCACTGATTACAACCCACCCTGGCTGGTGAGGTGGGACTTATAATAAGCATCAACAAAAAAGGGGAGATGAACAACATAATATAATAATGGTCCCCTTTATCTCACAGTCCTTTTTTTTGGTACAAAAAGAAAGCAAACATATCTTAGGCAAAGGGCAACTATTACAGAAGAAACATTTTTACAAATTCAAGAAGGTTATTATTCCCAGTTAAGAATTTCAATTTCGATTATTGCTTAAAGGAAATAACCTAGTGAATAAAGATAAAATGCCACTTTAGACTCTAAGAAAAAACAAATCAAAAGCATACTTACTAATAGCCGGAGCTATTCCACCTACTGATCCAGGACCAGGGATGTTTCCTGCCACGGCTGCTGCTTGGGCAGCTGCTGCAGCTTGCGCAGTGGCTGCCTGCTGCTGCATCTGTCGATGACACTGACGCAAGTCAAAGACCTTTTTAAAAAAAATGTACATTTTAATGATATGTGTCCATTAGCAAAGATTACATACATCAAAAATCAATGTACAAAGGGCTAGGGATTTAGCTCAGTGGGGTTGCTGCCTGCCTCTCAAGAGAAGGTCCTGAGTTCAATTCCCAGAACCAAAAAAAAACAAACACACAAGGTACATTTTACTGAACACTTACAACTTCATTAATCTCTCACAAGAAGAATTTATTAAAAATTTAACATTTCTATGTAGACTGTAATTGGTATAAAATTAATTAGGAAAGGTGGCCTGAAGCTCACCAAGAGGTACATTTCACTATCAAGATGACTGGCTGCAAGCAACATGCCTCTATATCCTTTAGGTAGTTCAGTGTGGGGCAGCTATCTCTGTCCTTGTGAAAAATTACCCATCTGTGACAAATGAACAGTTAAATCACACCATCCTTTCATAACCAAATTTCTGAGTTTTCTTTAGGCTGGAATTGATATTGCTCACTTGACCAATATCTTTTCTTACCATTCTTTATCATTTCTGCTATTTGAAAGTACAAGAAAACATCTACATTTTTTAGTATCTCGTTACAAAATAAAAAGATTATCACGACTTATCTTCAATACTCCAGAGAAGGTAGGCAAAAGGACAGATCAAGCAAATATAAAATCGTTCATCTAAGTGTAAGATATATGGAATTTCACTAAACCAGTTTATGACTACTTTCATATGTTTGAAATTAAAAGAAAAAAACTAACGTTATCATTACTGACATCTGTTAATTATATTCTTAAACTCTCTGAAGCCTTAGTTTTCTTATGTGTAAAATAAGAATGCTACATATACATATTTTCTTAGGGTTACTATAAACAACATAGTACACAGTAAACTGTCAATAAGTGTTACTTATTTTGGTTTTGGCCTTCTCAGTAGCCATTTTTCTTTCAAGATGTGTTAGTAATTTCAGTGTCCCCTCCCATATCAGGGATCAAATTCAGGACCTTGCATTTACAAGGTGGGCAAGGCACCACTGAGCTAAATCCCCAGCCCATAATTTCAGTGTTCTTTATAAAGCAAGTCAAGCACATAGTAAAGAAAGGGTTGGTATCACTTCTACTTTTATCCCCATAAAAGTATTAGAATTTTCTTTTAATAAGCAACAAATAATGCATAACCACATCATCTTTTTTCTGGGACAAAGCCATCTTCCTAAAATATTTGCTTACATTTGCATATTTTAAAAAGCACCAGAAGATTATACACAAAAAGAGAGCTGTCACTTGCAAATACTGTAGGAAAAGAGGACAAGGACAGCAGAAGTGTAACTACCCAGTCAACTAGGTATGTAGCCTTTTCAGATCAGCTTCTTTAATAATATCCATTTAAATTTTTCTTTACATTTTTTTCAGGATAGTTCATTTCTTTTTATCACTGAATAATATTCTTTTGTCTGATGTAGTAGTTTGTCCATTTACTTACTGAAGAATATCTTTGTTGTGCTCAAATTTTGGCAATTATGAATAAAATTACTATATACATATCTGTGTGCAAGTTTCTATGTGGATCTATGTTTTCAATTCATTTGGGTAAATGTCAAAGAATTTGACTGCCAGATTGTAAGAGTGTATTTAATTTTATAAGAAACTGAAAAACTGTCTACTAAAATGGCTATACCATTTCCATTCTCACCAGCAATGAATGAGCGCTCCACATCCTCGCCAGCATTTATTATCAGTATATTCTATTTTGGCCATTCTATGTAAGTGTGTAGTGGTATTTCTTTCCTTTTTTGACTCCCAATTACCTCATGACATATGTTGAACACATATTCAGATGTTTGCCAGTGATCTGTGTATCTTTTTCACTGAAGTGTCTGTTCAGGTATTTTGCTATTTTTAAATCAATTATTATTAACCTTCAAGTCTTTGTATATTTTAGACCTCTGGGAAATATTTTCTTCCTGTTTGTGGCTTGTCTTCTCATTCTCTTGACAATGTCTTTCACAGAACAGAAATTAATTTTAATAAAGTCCAGTCAACTGTTTTTCTTGACTCATGCCTTTGGTGCTGTATCTAAAACGTCACCAATATGGTCATCTAGGTTTTCTGTTAGCCTCTAGTTTTATAGTATTGCGTTTTACATTTAGATCTTTCCTATTTTTAACTATTGTTAACTATGTATGGTACATACATAATCTCATTATCTGGGAGTGGAGTACAAAACTTATTTATAAATCAAAGTTCAAATATGTTCAACATTCACAATGACTCATAATAACAGCCACGTGTAATTGCCACATATGGACACAACACAAATATCCTGTAAATATGTCATTTTAGCATGAATGTATGGGAACATTAACAATATATATTACAGGTAACCATAAAGATGAAATTTGACTTTTACATGAAAATGCAGTAAAAATGATTTACTAGGCACCTCAGCAAACTTTCACAGATTATCTATATTATTACAACACCCAACACAGAAGATTTAAAATTACTCAATTAAGCTCACCTATGCTGAGACTGGGTTGCCTCATTTCACACCATAATTGACACGATATGTGACAGATTTCATCCCTTATTCTGGATGATAAAATTAAGGCTATCATTGAAACAGCACCATATTCCTTTCAGAATTGACTAAGTTGTTGATAAAAGAAATTCAAAGTAACCAAAGGCTTTAAATATTCTTTTTGGCTCACATCCAAAATACATTTCTGACTACCACTCCTAAACTAAATCAACAAACCTCACTCTGCTTTCATTTATTTAACTGTTTCCTGTAGCTACTCATGTAAGTTTATTACAAATTTATTAAAACAGGTGTCTTACAAAGAGCACTGTCAACATCTTCAAGATATCATCTTTCAATCAGAAGTCAAATTTTAGCATTTTATTAATAAGGCTTAATTACAAACACTGACCACCAGGAAACAGTAATTTGGAAGGAGAAACATATGGTGCTGCTAGCGGATAAGCACCTGAAGATAAAAATACTTGTCAAGTTACCTGACCGAAAGTAAAAGAGTAGTACGTGACAACTGGAAATAAATTTAAGTGGGGCTTATAATACCCTTTTCCCGAGCCCACTGCCTCCTCTTAGAAGTATCCACTGTCTCTTTCCCTTAACTGATATGTAGTTCTGAACCTAACTTGATTCAATATCATCAGAGAAATGCAAATCACTATAATGAGATTCTTCACATCCACTAGGATAGGTTTTTTAAAAATAAAAAACAAGTGTTGAAAATACAGAGAAATTTGAACCCTCACACACTGCTAGCTAGTGGGAATACAAAAAATGATGTAGTCATTTTGGAAAATAGTCTAGCAGATCCTCAGAAAGTTATACATAGCACTAACTTGTGATCTGGCAGTTGTACTATTAGATATATATCTGAGAGAAATGAAAACGCATGATCACATAAATACTTGCACATGAATGTTCATGGCAAAATCATTCATAATATAGCAAGGAGTAGAAATCCATACCTCTATCAACTGATAAGATAAACAAAATGTGGATTGTGAAGTATTATTCAGCCATAAAAAAAGAATAATGTACTAATATATCTTACATGAATGAAGCTTGGGAAATTATGCCTAGTAAAAGAACCAAGTCACAAAAGACTACATTATATGAATTCACTTATATGAAATGTCCTGAATAGGCAAGTACACAGTCAGAAAGTAGATTAGTGGTTATCTAGGACTTTGTGGAATATCGCCAGAGTTAAAGGGATTGGGATTCCTTTCTACAATGATAAAATGTTATAAAACTGAGTGTAGAGATGGCTGCATGATTCTATTAATATACTAAAAAAACACGAGTTGTACGTTTTAAGTGGGTAATTTGCATAGCAAGTGAATTATATCTTATATCTCAGTCAAACTGTTGAAAATCAGAATGCTCAGTCAAGCAACACCAAATAAAACAGTGGAAAAGGAGAGAAAGTAAGGGACAGGTATAAAAATTATTAAGATTTGATATGTATATGTACGAATTCCCCAAGGTGAATGTAATTACTATGTATTACAAATATATTTTTTAATTTTTTTTAAAGACTTCACTTTTAGAAGTAAAAGAGCAAGCCACCTAAGGAGAAGTCAAACTCTTGCTTAATTTCAAGATTATAAAATACCATTTCATTATATTAGATTTTTATAAGATGACCATATCATGAGGGGGGAAATCAATATCTAAAAAGGAGGAAAAAAGCCCCCCAATTTTAGTTTCTTGGCTTGTTGTTTTCCTCATTTTAGTAAAAAGAGAAATATGTGTGTGTGCGTTTCTATTTTCAACATGTGGACAGCACTCCTTCTAGAGGGTCACATTACTCATATACAAATTCATCCCAGTACAGTATTATCCATGATGAGAATCTATCTGGAAAACTAAACAATAACTTACATATCCTTTAGTTATTACTGCCCCCAAAAAAAACTAACAAAGGAAAATGCCAATGGTTAGATTTAAGGTTATACATATATTTGTCTCTTTTTAGCTAATACGATTTTTCTGATCAGTAGTTCAGTTGGTGAATTCTTTTTATATCTCATTTTATGAAAATATGAGATACTTTTAACTCCAAATATCTTGTCCCATAAGATATTTATCTACTGTTCATGAAAAAATATGAGATCACTATAAAAATCTGCCCATGACAGTGGTTTATCAAGTGATGACTTGCCTCATACCTTGGAGCTTTTTAACAGCCATTTTTAACAAAACATAGATGTTAGATTTATTTGACCATCCAAAGAATTAAGGTATACAAGACTCCACACTTTATTTAAGGTCAACTGTTTTAAATACTACTCCCTATTTCATACATACTATTTGGTACATAGTATATAGATAATACTATATAGTACCTTATCCATTTACTTAAAATTACACAAGTAATCCAGAGATATACAATCAAAATGTATGACTGGGTATACAGTCATCTTCTCTCTTTACTCTAGACATATACAATAGAAAAACTTAAAAACAGGTATCTATTCCAGGCCAATCATGAAACTCAGCTCGAGTACAACAGACTTGGAATAGCCAAAATAATATTAAAAAAAAAAAGAACTCATATTTCCTAATTTCCAAACTTATTATTAATCTACAATAATTAAGAAATGGTACTCCAGGCATAAGAACAGATATATAGATCAATGAAATGGAACTGACAGTCCAGAAATAAATCTTTACACTTATAGCCTTGTAACTACAAACTGATTTTTCATTCATGACCTTGGGCTGGCTTCTTAGATAAGACACCAAAAGCAACCAAAGACATAACAGAAAAATTGTACTACATCAAAAATGTAAAACTCTAGTGCTGCAATTCATATTATTAAGAAAATGAAAGGATTTCTTTTTCCACTTGCACTCTGGCCATCAATCGAGAAGAAGTAGTAATTCTGGTACATGCTGCCTGATGATGAGACTAGAACATCAATTTTAGGACCACAGACTTTGTTGAGGGAAGATACATAAGACAGAAAAAGTATGGTCCTGCGGCCACAGCTTTCCAAGCCACTCCTCACTCTCACTAATATGGTTTCTATTTGCAGTTTTTGGTGTTTTAGTTACTTTTCTCTCATTGCTGAGACAAAATATCCAACACCCAAAGTTTAAAGGGAAGGGGTTCATTTGGCTTACAGTTCATAGAGATTTCAGTTCATAATCAGCATGTTCCAAGGCTGAGATGGCAAATAAGCATCGCAGAGGAGAAACTACCTGGTGCACACAAGGCAGCAAAGGTAACAAGGGCTCTTCACGGCATCTTTCTGCCTCTTTTGTCACATCCAGACTATAGGGATTAGGGTGGTGCTAAACCATTCGTTCACCTATAGTGGTTACACTACAGCATTGCACATTCCAGATTCAGCTACCTCTGACTGCATGAGGCTTAGGGGGACATATAGACACAAACCATAACAGAAAGTGAGAGCACTGCATACTCAGAAGTCTCAAAAGCTCCCTGCTGCAGCTGCAGTGATTTAGAATATCTCCTGAACCTCCACTGGGGATTTAATATCAATAGAAAATGACAGGAACATGGTAAAAGTGAACCTCCCTGTAGATCTGACATTAGTGGAACCATGCAATGTGAGCATAAGTAACATGTCACTCCCATGTACAGCCCTTTAACAGCCAGTGATCAATTTGCCCTTTCTTGTCTCCACATTCAGTGATGCTAGAGACTCCCTAAGAGATGACATGAGAATTCTTAGCCAACCCATGACAGACATACGATGACTGAGAAATAGAACTATGGTGTTTTAAACCACCAATATTTTATAGTTGTGCTGCCTTATAACTAAATTGACTATAATACCCTAACTCACTGCAATGGAATATGATTTTGAAAACTAGGGAAAAGGTGAGCCTATCTTGCATGTGGAAAAGATGTGCATCATTAGGGGTAAAAAGGGGAGCTGTGGTAAAGAGCTAAACTGGATCCCAAAGAGTCTCATCTCCCAACATTACACACTTGAATGGGGGTTGGATGTACCAGTACTAGTGACTTGCTTCTGGGTTATTTTTTTGGTGTTGTTGTTGTTTGTTTATTTTTTCTGGTTTGGTACCAAGGATCAAACTCGGGTCCTTGCACTTGGGGGAGGCAGGCAGCCACACCACTAAGCTAAATCCCCGACCCTGCTTTAATTTAAAAAAAAAAGAGAGGAGGAAGGAAAAAACTGGCAATAGCCTAAAGAATGGAAAAAAAATTTGCTAATCATGTGTCAGATGAGACTAGTACTAAGTATAAAGAACTCTACAGTTCAATAATAAAAAGAACCTAATTTAAAAACAACAAAGGATCTAACCAAACACTTCTCCAATAGTATACAAATAGCCAATAACACGTGAAAAAATTTTCAACATTATTAGACCTTATTAAGAATATGTTAAACAAAAATGTGGGACCAGGGATGGAGTTCTGTAGTACAACACCTGCCTGGCAAGCACAAGGCCCTGAGTTTGATTCCTGGTGCCAAAAAAAAACAAAACAAAACAAAGAGATGTCACTTTACATCCCTTAGGATGGCTAAATCAAAAAGGCTGATAATGACAAGTGTTGAGGAGGTGCAGTTGGTAGCAACGTAAAATGTCATGGCCATTTGGGAAAACACTCTGGTATTTCTTCAAAAAAATTAAATATAGTGTTACTTTATGATAAAGCAATTCTACTCTTAGATTTATGTCCAAGAAAGTGAAAACACATTTACCCAAAAACCTATACAGAGTAGAAACAACTCACATGTCTATCAACAGATGATAGAGATTTTAAAAAATGGTACTAGGAACTCCCAGATCAGAAACAGAGGATAAAAGACAATAATTCAACTTTCTGAGGACAGCAACTATCAACAGCTAAGCTTCCTAGAGTCTACAAATAGGCACTTACTCTTTTTGCTTGGTTTGGTTTGGTTTGTTTTGATACCAGGGATCGAAGTCAGGACCTTGCGCTTGTGAGATAGGTGGCAGAACCACAGAGCTAATCCCCGGGCCAGGAACTTACTCTTAAATAGATTGCTGGTAATATACTTTGATAGCCAAATCAGAAATGCACCAATGGGAAAAAAAAAAAAAAAAAAAA